CATCAACAGACAACTGGTTACACACATCAGCAGACAACTGGTTACACACATCAGCAGACAACTGGTTACACACATCAACAGACAACTAGTTACACACATCAACAGACAACTGGTTACACACATCAGCAGACAACTGGTTACACACATCAGCAGACAACTAGTTACACACATCAACAGACAACTGGTTACACACATCAACAGACAACTGGTTACACACATCAACAGACAACTGGTTACACACATCAGCAGACAACTAGTTACACACATCAACAGACAACTGGTTACACACATCAACAGACAACTGGTTACACACATCAGCAGACAACTAATTACAAACATCAGCAGACGATAATCTACATTTGTTGAGCACGTCTTGAGATGGGGATCGCTGACAACGGACATGCTGAAGGGGACAGAGAGGCAAGGGGAAAATCAACAATGTGTTCAATACACAGCTAGGAGCGAGCAAAACATCTGTAGGAGTAGCTGGATCTTGAGTTGATCTTCCCATCAAAGAGCATCCTGTCACACTGAGCCTGGTGGAGAAGTGTAAACCAAATGTTTGAGATGAGGCGATGTGTTCTTTTCCAAGCTACGGTTAGATGTTCCAGAATTAGTCTCACGATATTTGATAAATCAGTCAGAAAACGGCTTGAGCTCAGTTCATCAAACCTGGAGGTTCCATCATTGCCTATCTAAGCTACTGGTTTCTACTAGATGGCGTCCATCAACCAAGCCAGGGGTGGAGAGGGTGGAGGTGTGCTCAAGCAGGCATGTTGTGGACACGTGTTCGACCCAGATCTTAGCCATCAGATTGGAGCAAGAGAGGGCTAGATTTTCCGCAGGTAAAAATCTTCAATTTGCTTCCAGGAGTAAATACAGCAGACCTTGGCTATCTAATCCCCCAGGCCTGCACATGGCGTCGACTTGACCCAAAGACCTTAAACTTATCTACACAGAGATGTGCTGCCCAGGCAGGAGAGGAGGAGGAGGTGGTGGTGGTTGGTTGGGAAGATGCAAGCTACCTGTAGCAACTCCAGACAAGCAGGGCTCCTGTATCAACTAGTGAGAGAGAGAGCCTATGTTGCTACCTGTACCAGCCAGTACAGGCCGGCTGGGGAGAGCGGGTGGAGATTGGGGTCTTTTACCCACCGCACAGAACCAGCCTAGAGGGGTGGCTGCACGTGTGTCAGTGTAGTGTGGTGTGAGAGTACAGACTACATATCAGACAGGATTATGAGAACCAGGCTAGTAAAAGGCAGGAAAAGCTTAACATACATCTAAGTACAGCCTCCTTGTATTGATACATACAAGCTTGAAGAAACAATAAAATTCTTCGAGAAATTAAGTGAAACTATCAGTAAAGTTAGAGACACTGACAGCTTGTACATACTGGGGGATTTTAATGGAAGAGTTGGAAAACGCAGGACGTCATGGGAGAGATATCTGGGACCCTTCAACGATACAACAACTGAGTGTAATTCTAACGGAGAACAGCAGCTGAATCTATGTGCAGAACTTGATTATCAGTAACACCTTTTACCAAAATCGAAGAAGTCAGATGTTAACATAGTATAGACGGAACAACTTCAGTCAAACATCACAGATTGATTTTATTTTGATAATAAGTAGAGAGAGATGGAGAATAGAGAATTCCATGGCCATCCCAAAGGCACTAAAAAATTCAGACCATAGACCAATAGTACTTTTGCTTCATAAACCTGCTGGAACACACCCCAAGAAACCAGTCCAGCTAGCAGAGTAAACATTGTGAAACTAACAGATACAGAAGTTGCGGAGGAAATAAATAAAGCAGCCAGAATCTCCTTCAACACCCTTACAGAAGCAAACAACAAAGAAGATGAGTGGGGGACAGTGCACAGGCTCTGTAGCACCGGTGAGGATACTGAAATACTTTGGGTAAATTTTTAATTCCAAAATCTGCGCCGTTGGCCTACTTTTTTCGATCTCCAACTGCCAAGGGATTTCTTACGTGTGCAGCAATGCACATGGGCGTCCAGAGATCAGCTACATTATTTCTCAGTGGCAATAATCAGTTGCGGATTGGGAATACACTGACACACTTACATTTGTACTGAACAATCCTGTGACGCGCAGGCAGAGACTACTGGTGTTTTGTGTGATGATGTTTATCGGTGGATATTGTGTGTCAAGGTTTTGTTGAACGGTTGAGATGTTAGAAAGTCATCGGACTGTGTGGATGTCTTGTCCCTGAGAATCCCAGAAGGCAGCTTGCCGCCCTATGGACATCTAGCTGATGTATGCAGCCATGCTTAGTTGTTTTATGTGCCTGGTGCAGGAACTGTTAACCTGTCACTCAGCTTTCTGCTGGATTCATATTGTTGTTGCAGATAGTGTGCTGATACAATGTCGAGGCCATGCAGATAGTGTGCTGATACAATGTCAAGGCCATGCAGATAGTGTGCTGATACAATGTCGAGGCCATGCAGATAGTGTGCTGATACAATGTCGAGGCCATGCAGATAGTGTGCTGATACAAGGTCGAGGCCATGCAGATAGTGTGCTGATACAAGGTCGAGGCCATGCAGATAGTGTGCTGATACAAGGTCGAGGCCATACAGATAGTGTGCTGATACAAGGTCGAGGCCATGCAGATAGTGTGCTGATACAAGGTCGAGGCCATGCAGATAGTGTGCTGATACAATGTCGAGGCCATGCAGATAGTGTGCTGATACAATGTCGAGGCCATGCAGATAGTGTGCTGATACAAGGTCGAGGCCATGCAGATAGTGTGCTGATACAAGGTCGAGGCCATGCAGATAGTGTGCTGATACAATGTCGAGGCCATGCAGATAGTGTGCTGATACAAGGTCGAGGCCATGCAGATAGTGTGCTGATACAAGGTCGAGGCCATGCAGATAGTGTGCTGATACAATGTCGAGGCCATGCAGATAGTGTGCTGATACAAGGTCGAGGCCATGCAGATAGTGTGCTGATACAAGGTCGAGGCCATGCAGATAGTGTGCTGATACAAGGTCGAGGCCAGACCACAAATTACCAACATAAATCCTTGAGCTAGGACGGCTAACTGCTTACGTGGAGACACAGGCAGGGGATTCAGAGCTCTACATCTGCCTGCGTGTTTGGCTAACTTACCACTAAGTAATAGAACAGACTTTTGGGAGAAGTTAGGAAATCAGAGATGGCTGGAAAGAGATCATTTATTCTAGATATTTTAATTCAACATAACTTCCATTCATCACTAGAGTTGCTGTTGTTAGAATACGCCAAGATGGTGCTTTATATAATGCCTTTTGTCAAGCTGACTTTCATTTACAATTGGAGTCGCATCCCTTAGTCCTAAAGCTGAATTTCAGTTACAGTTGAAGTTGCATCCCTTAGTCCTAAAGCTGACTTTCAGTTACAATTGAAGTCGCATCCCTTAGTCCTAAAGTTGACTTTCAGATACAGTTGAAGTTGCATCCCTTAGTCCTAAAGTTGACTTTCAGATACAGCTGAAGTTGCATCCCTTAATCCTAAAGCTGACTTTCAGTTACAGTTGAAGTTGCATTCATCGGTCCTAAAGCTGACTTTCATTTACATTTTGAGCTGAATTCATTAGTCCTAAAGTTGACTTTCATTTACAGATCGAATTGCATTCATTAGTTTTAAAGTCACTGGTTTTTCAGATTGTAGTTGTTCCTGCAGGACTGTTTCCCCGTTTACTGTGGAAGCTGACTTTCAGTTACAATTGAAGTCGCATCCCTTAGTCCTAAAGTTGACTTTCAGATACAGTTGAAGTTGCATCCCTTAGTCCTAAAGTTGACTTTCAGATACAGCTGAAGTTGCATCCCTTAATCCTAAAGCTGACTTTCAGTTACAGTTGAAGTTGCATTCATCGGTCCTAAAGCTGACTTTCATTTACATTTTGAGCTGAATTCATTAGTCCTAAAGTTGACTTTCATTTACAGATCGAATTGCATTCATTAGTTTTAAAGTCACTGGTTTTTCAGATTGTAGTTGTTCCTGCAGGACTGTTTCCCCGTTTTCTGTGGAAATCATGCTTTCACCCCAGACTTGGCTTGTGGTTGCTTCTTTATACTTTCTTGTTTCAACTGTTGTTGATTTTATCTTTCATTATTACTAGCTGGTTGGTCTTTAACACGTCTGCACCTCGAACAATTCACATCAGAATGAAGGCATACACATGTGGGGTAATGTATTGGGGCATTCACATGTGTATCAAGTATTGGGGCATTCACATGTGGGGTCATGTATTGGGGAATTCACATGTGGGGTCATGTATTGGGGCATTCACATGTGGGGTCATGTATTGAGACATTCACATGGGGAATCATGTATTGGGGCATTCACATATGGGATCATGTATTGGGGCATTTACATGTGGGGTCATGTATTGGGGCACTCACATGTGGTTATCATGTCCTGAGGCATTCAAATGTGTGATCATGTATCGAAGCATTCACATGTGTGATAATGTATTGAGACATTCACATGTGTGATCATGTATTGAGACATTCCCATGTGTGATTATGTATCAAACCATTCACATGGGGGATCATGTGTCAAAGCATTCACATGGGGGATCATGTATTGAGACATTCACATGTGTGATCATGTATCAAACCATTCACATGTGGTATCATGTATTGAGGCATTCACATGTGTGATCATGTATCAAACCATTCACATGTGGTATCATGTATTGAAGCATTCACATGGGGGATCATGTATTAAGGCATTCACATGTGGGATCATGTATTAAGGCATTCACATGTGGGATCATGTATTAAGGCATTCACATGGGGGATCATGTATTAAGGCATTCACATGGGGGATCATGTATTAAGGCATTCACATGGGGGATCATGTATTAAGGCATTCACATGGGGGATCATGATTGAGACATTCACTTGTGGGATCATGAAATGAGTCATTAACCTGTAGGGTCATGTACTGGGACACTGACATGTGGGATCACATATTGAGGCACTCACCTGCGAGTAGCCATAGATTTTAATGGTCTTCTTGGAGGGATCGTGTTCTATCCTGCCACCACCAAGAATCTCACAGTCCAGACCTTTATCCTCTATCTGCCCAACCACCATGTCATAAATGTCAGCTGCCAGAAGAAAGTCACAATTATATCTAGAGTCCATTCAACAAATACTTCTTTAGCTAATTCAACAATTACATCTTGAGCTAATTCAACAATTACTTCTTGAGCTAATTCAACAATTACATCTTGAGCTAATTCAACAATTACATCTTGAGCTAATTCAACAATTACATCTTGGGCTAATTCAACAATTACATTAAAAGAGAATTCTACAAATACATCTTGGGCTAATTCAACAATTACATTTAAAGAGAATTCAACAAATACATCTGCAGTCAATTCAACAATTACATTTAAAGAGAATTCAACAAATACATCTTGGGCTAATTCAACAATTACATTTAAAGAGAATTTTACAAATACATCTTGGGCTAATTCAACAATTACATTTAAAGAGAATTCAACAAATACATCTTGGGCTAATTCAACAATTACATCTAAAGAGAATTCAACAATTACATCTTGAGCTAATTCAACAATTACAGTCAATGTAACAAATATGTCATAATTAGCACTATTTTTCTTACACTAAATCTTTCTCTTTTGCCCTCTCTCTCTCTCTCTCCCTTACAATTCTATATTATGACTTACAGTTTTGGTGGACACCAACTGACTGAAACAGCCACTGGTCGAAGAACTATAGTTCGTTCAACAATAGATAAACACACATGCAAGCCGTTTTCTCAAAAACTGCCTGTTATATCGCAATGATTTTTTTTTTTTTTGTGCAGCCCTAGAATATCCACGATGTTAGGAAAATATTTCTTCATTAAAGAAGAATGTCATATGTAGTGTTTTCTTCTTTACAATTTATATTTTTAAACCGTCTTTGGTAGACTTTTGGAAGGTTTACTGTCATTAGTTTTAGGAAGTAATGCACACTCTGACTGGTTTAACAGGGGGTCAAAGGAAACCTATGCAATTTCATGATTTTCTCATGCAAAGTCGCACTCTGAATCACCTCGCGCCAAAATAAGACTTTGGTCAAGATTGTTTAGTCAAAGGCTCATCCACAAATTAGTGCTAAGTTATTGTGTCATAAAGCTAGCTTAAAAAAACTGACATCAATTTCAAAATGAATTTGAGATGCAAATTTATAACTTTGCAGATTTATAACCTTGTAGCAGCTCTTCCTTGGGGAATCTAAGATCGGTCATTGATATTGTGATACTCATTACCCAGAGAAACCAACACGACTACTGCTTGGTCTGGATAGAGCATCATTGAACCGTTGCAACAGACAGGATACAGAGTACACTCATGTCAAGCAAGGCAGGGAACAGACAGGATACAGAGTACACTCATGTCAAGCAAGGCAGGGAACAGACAGGATACAGAGTACACTCGTGTCAAGCAAGGAAGGGAACAGACAGGATACAGAGTACACTCATGTCAAGCAAGGCAGGGAACAGACAGGATACAGAGTACACTCATGTCAAGCAAGGCAGGGAACAGACAGGATACAGAGTACACTAATGTCAAGCAAGGCAGGGAACAGACAGGATACAGAGTACACTCATGACAAGCAAGGCAGGGAACAGACAGGATACAGAGTACACTCATGTCAAGCAAGGGAGGAAACAGACAGGATACAGAGTACACTCATGTCAAGCAAGGAAGGGAACAGACAGGATACAGAGTACACTCATGTCAAGCAAGGCAGGGAACAGACAGGATACAGAGTACACTCATGTCAAGCAAGGCAGGGAACAGACAGGATACAGAGTACACTCATGTCAAGCAAGGCAGGGAACAGACAGGATACAGAGTACACTCATGACAAGCAAGGCAGGGAACAGACAGGATACAGAGTACACTCATGTCAAGCAAGGGAGGAAACAGACAGGATACAGAGTACACTCATGTCAAGCAAGGAAGGGAACAGACAGGATACAGAGTACACTCATGTCAAGCAAGGGAGGGAACAGACAGGATACAGAGTACACTCATGTCAAGCAAGGAAGGGAACAGACAGGATACAGAGTACACTCATGTCAAGCAAGGAAGGGAACAGACAGGATACAGAGTACACTCATGTCAAGCAAGGCAGGGAACAGACAGGATACAGAGTACACTCATGACAAGCAAGGCAGGGAACAGACAGGATACAGAGTACACTCATGTCAAGCAAGGGAGGAAACAGACAGGATACAGAGTACACTCATGTCAAGCAAGGAAGGGAACAGACAGGATACAGAGTACACTCATGTCAAGCAAGGGAGGGAACAGACAGGATACAGAGTACACTCATGTCAAGCAAGGAAGGGAACAGACAGGATACAGAGTACACTCATGTCAAGCAAGGAAGGGAACAGACAGGATACAGAGTACACTCATGTCAAGCAAGGCAGGAAACAGACAGGATACAGAGTACACTAATGTCAAGCAAGGCAGGGAACAGACAGGATACAGAGTACACTCATGTCAAGCAAGGCAGGAAACAGAAAGTTGATGACTTTGATGTACATGTCATTCGATGTGAAATCTTACACATGTTAGAAACAAATCAACATGTTACTCTCCAAAACTGCAATTGACATTGAAATCACAATGCGGTATACACATTTCAAAAAAGTCCTTAAAAAATAGACATTCTTTTCTGGAAAAAATGTGTTGAAAATGTGCTCAAAGAGGAAGACGAGTACTGGCACCAAGATGGATTACAATGTGTTCAGCCAGTAACAATTATCAACCTTTCGGGATCGTCAAATTCGGAATGATTAAAACCATTTTTTCAATGAGTGGTTGAATAGCATCTGCCCGTTAGGAACATCTACAATTGCAACAAATATACCTCCATATCGAAATGTGTCAACCATAATACAATCTGCTGTGCAGTTCAAATACACTGCGGAGTCTAATGATGACTGAAGGGGAATACTAACTGTTGCATATAAGGGACATGTTTACAACTGAACTAGGCAGATTGGCTGGATCTGCACCACTGTGGGGGGGGGGGGGGGGGGGGGGGGAGTTAATAAATTACAAGGGGCAGAGGGCCTGGCCGGCACACTATACTCAGAGGAATGGCAAGATGGAGATACAATCAGACTGTATCCGGTACCATTAGTATTGGCACTCTGCGCTGGCTGCTGAAGATGGGGACGGAGCGCACATGGGAATGCCACGAGTGCCGTGATGTCTTTCTTGACTTAGCTTAATTCAACTTAGATGTACATCAATGACAACAAATAAATTTACTTCACCTATCAATGTATTATGAAGACACGCCTCTGACAACAAATAGAACTGGAAATTCGGATGTTTACTGTAAAATCTAAAAGTTCACTCCACTTATTTACAATGGTACGAAAAGACCAAAAGAATTGGCTGCTATTCAGCATCCCGAGTATCTATGAACTAAAGAATACCATTATTTTTGCGTCACAGATATTCTAAGTCTACATGCAAACAATCGTTGCCAAACAAGCAGTGTTCGGGAACATGGCTTGCAAGTGTCTTTATGAGATGTTAAACGAAACAAAGATTTTCTCTCAGTCTTCAGACTTCCCAGCCCTAGGGGATATCTGGCCTCCACTGATCTCCATCACTGGCTTCCCAGTCAGTCAGTCCAAGTTTGTAGTTCTGGCTGTACTTGATATCTCTTCCCGGTTAGTCAGCCCACGTATGTAGTACTGGCTGTACATGATATCTCTTCCCAGTTAGTCCACGTTTGTAGTACTGGCTGTACATGATTTCTCTTCCCAGTAAGTCAGTCCACGTATGTAGTACTGGCTGTACATGATATCTCTTCCCAGTAAGTCAGTCCACGTATGTAGTACTGGCTGTACATGATATCTCTTCCCAATAAGTCAGTCCACGTATGTAGTACTGGCTGTACATGATATCTCTTCCCAGTAAGTCAGTCCACGTATGTAGTACTGGCTGTACATGATATCTCTTCCCAGTAAGTCAGTCCACGTATGTAGTACTGGCTGTACATGATATCTCTTCCCAGTAAGTCAGTCCACGTATGTAGTACTGGCTGTACATGATATCTCTTCCCTGTTAGTCAGTCCACATTTGTAGTACTGGCTGTACATGATATCTCTTCCCAGTTAGTCAGTCCACGTTTGTAGTACTGGCTGTACATATCTCTTGGGTCCAGCTGGTGTCAACCCTCACACAACCTTTGTGAACTAGCTGACAGACTGATGCAGTCAATGAGAGCACATGTGTACAAACTTACAGACTAATGCAGTCAATGAGAGCACATGTGTACAAGCTGACAGACTGATGCAGTCAATGAGAGCACATGTGTACAAGCTGACAGACTGATACAGTCAATGAGAGTACATGTGTACAAGCTGACAGACTGATGCAGTCAATGAGAGCACATGTGTACAAGCTTACAGACTAATGCAGTCAATGAGAGCACATGTGTACAAGCTGACAGACTGATGCAGTCGATGAGAGCACATGTGTACAAGCTGACAGACTGATGCAGTCAACGAGAGCACATGTGTACAAGCGGACAGACTGATGCAGTCAACGAGAGCACATGTGTACAAGCTGACAGACTGATGCAGTCAATGAGAGCACATGTGTACAAGCTTACAGACTGCTGCAGTCAATGAGAGCACATGTGTACAAGCTGACAGACTGATGCAGTCAATGAGAGCACATGTGTACAAGCTGACAGACTGATGCAGTCAATGAGAGCACATGTGTACAAGCGGACAGACTGATGCAGTCAATGAGAACACAGGTGTACAAGCTGACAGACTGATGCAGTCAATGAGAGCACATGTGTACAAGCTGACAGACTGATGCAGTCAATGAGAGCACATGTGTACAAGCTGACAGACTGATGCAGTCAATGAGAGTACATGTGTACAAGCTGACAGACTGATGCAGTCAATGAGAGCACATGTGTACAAGCTGACAGACTGATGCAGTCAATGAGAGCACATGTGTACAAGCTGACAGACTGATGCAGTCAATGAGAGCACATGTGTACAAGCTGACAGACTGATGCAGTCAATGAGAGCACATGTGTACAA